AATATAAAGAAATGTTATTTTAAAAATTGAGAAAAACTACTGGTTTACGCTTGTTTTCACATTTAAATAGTAAAAAAATAATTATTTTAGTTTGTACCAGATCAGCCCAATGTAGACGTAAGTATAAAGCTTACGATAGTTATATGGTTAATATGCTTACCTTTTCTTGTCTCTTTAACTATATCATATAGGGTTGAGAGTACCATTAGGCAAACAAATGTTCCAAAAAAACATCTAAAAACAATATATCTATTTCTTAAAACATCTGCCAATTTTGCGTGTGTTTACTTACATGGTCAGAATTACTTCAATAGTAAACTTTGGTCGGATGCTTTCTTTCGTTTGGCATGTTACGCTCCAAGGAATGACAGATAAAAATAACGACCAAATACTTTCCAGATCTACATTATTGCATTTATGCGGCATGCAGATGCCAACAGAAGGTTCTAGTGCCATTTGGAAGTCTGGATTGTAGGGAGAGTCCTTCAGAGTTTTATAGTTGGCGTACATTTTCTCAAACGCACCCTAACATTTGTGGGAATACTTCTATATTTGATATAATTAATATTATTTACTTCTACCTTAAATATACTAATTTCTAATTATCTATTTTTTTAAAACTTGCCATCTCCTTAAAGATGAAAAAGCTAAGAAAATTTCATATCATTAAAATATATGTGTGAACGTAACCGATAAAGCATTTGGCACTTTCAGTACCAAAAAGGTCCCTTTTAGGATTTTTTTTGTACAGTGCAAAATATTCCAGATTGTCACTTTGTGAATTTTGATTTGTTAATTTTGATTATTTTTTTTACTTTTCATTCTGTTTCGAGACGGTTTAAGTACCTTTTTCCAAGAATACGGAACGATACCAACGGCAGTTGCGTTTAATTAAAGTTTCGAGAATGTCTAATTAGGGAATTAACATTAAAATGATATCAGACGATCGACGCGATCAAGAACAAATAAATACAACATTTCACTCACCAGATTTATAAAATAAAGAAAATTGTTGATCATGTTGTAAAGTAACTTAGTCAGCTTTATCTAGATACAGACTGATAAAACGACAGACATCTGCTGAATTATATGTGTAAATTCAAAAGATTTCAAATATGCCAATTTTAAATTCGGGTTGCCATGAAAGTTAAACCGTTCAATTCGTTAAACCCTGTAAAAAGTTTTGCGGTTCGCACCAACACTACCATGCCTCATATATTGAGATCACACAGTATTATGATTAAAATATACTAGAATGTAATAATAAGCCATGTAAACTTCACCTGTACATTTAAACTGCTGCTTTTTAAAGCTGTTGAGCTGTCGATGCCTATAGTTGTTAAACAATATTTTCCCTTTATATCATTTAACTTGCTCTCTATGTTTATGCACTCTTTATGGCTTCCAATCCAGGCCATGTTTAAGTCAAAAATACCTGAAGGTATTTTATAACTTGCATCTATCACTGAAAAAGAAACATAACTTCACGTTCTTTATAACCCAGTCAAGCATCTTACATGTATAAACCATTTAATTTGAAGGTGGCTTTAAATTCACATTATTATTATTCCGAGAACATTGGGAACATTATATTTCAGAATGCTAAGAAATGTTGCGTTTATACAATTATTACAGAAAATATATCGTTATAATTGAAACTATGGCCTTAATTTGTACTTTTTTGTATGTTGATTAATGGGTTTCTTGATTCTCGACTTCAGTGGTATTAAATCGACCGCTGTCGTTCAAACAGTTCTTGAGACATGACCAAAAAGCCGGCCTATTTTGTTAAAACTGCGTAAAACTAAAACGTATGTTAACATTTAGATTGATGGTGTGGAAAAATGCAAATATTTTTATACCCCACATCTTCGTTAATTTTGATATGAGGCAAAATTGATCAATACAAATAAAGTTAACTTTTTAAGTTCTATCTACTGTTAAAACAAAAAAGTGTCTAATTTCGAGAGTTGGTTGATTTTAGAGATACACAACACAAATGTTAAAATACTATAAGAGCTAATCACAAAATGTGAAAATGTAGGCTTTAGATGTGACTTTCTGAGCAGTTCTACAGAAAAGTGGGCGTATACAGGGGTGTTACAAAATCGAGGTGAGAGACGATTTCGATTAACTAGGGAATATTTGCTTCTTTTGATGTTAAAGAAAATAGTAATTTAAAAGTAGCGAAATTTATGCTACTTCCAGGATATTAAGAAAAACCAAAATTTGCTCAAATTAGTTTTAATTCCTTCTCAGCTTCTTTGGAAATATATTTACAAATAATTGTCACATTATTAGGATACCATTCAATTTTCCACAAAATTGATCTAAAAAATCAGATCTAAAATTTATTTCTGCGTTTATGATCTACCGTCATCACTTAATTCCCCCTAGGGACGCTAGTAATGGGACTGTAATAGTATGTAGTGTAGAAATGGAATAGTACAAGAGACGAAAGTCGAAGTTCCGCCACTGTTTGAAGTCGACGCCCGAGGCGAAGCCGAGGGCACCATGCACACAGTGACGGGCGTCTTCGAGTACCGTATATTATTTGTCTTGATACTCGGTGGAAACTAGCCGGCAAAAGTATTAGGTTTTGAAAAAAAAATTAATGTCGAAACAGTCAGCGACAAAGTCAAGCTGTCAACGTGCGTGGCGAAAGTTATTAGTTTCCACACGGGAGGAGGAAAATTTGTAATAAGTAAAAGTGATGCTTTCGCCATCGAAAACAGTGACGAAAGTACGTACTTTCCACCAGGGGGTACCAAAAAAAATTATTTTGATCACCTGGTGGAAAATAGACAGTTTCGCCATTGTTTTCGATGGCGAAAGAATTACTTTTACTCATTACAATGGCATGACAATGACAATTTACCTCTCCGCCCATTATTCAATTTAATTTTCTTTATCCCATGTGGTAAGTAATTTTCACCACGCACGCTGACAGCTTGACTGTTTGACACTGACTGTTTTGACAACATTTTCAAAGCCTTTTTTCCAAATCTTATACTTTCCCCGGCTAGTTTCCACCGAGGGTCAAAAAAAAAGCTTCGCGACGGGCGTCAACTTCAAGCAGTGGCGGAACTTCGACTTTCGTCTCTTGTACTGTAATATACTATTTATTACACATTAGATGGTTCTTTGCAATACCGTATTTATCAATTTACTGGTGATATTTCATATTTTTATATTATTATTTATTATATTTCATATTAAATTTGATTTAAAGTCTTAACGAATGTTCTACGCCAACCTACATTTACTGATGGTATTTGAGATTTTTGTTGCTATTTTTTATTGTTAGTTATCCGATAAAATAAGATTAATTTGACTTGAAATACAGACGATCCAAATCCAAGACGGAGAAGTAGAGCAACAGACCAAACAAATGTATAGAGTCTGATTGCCGAAAATTGCATTTTTGATGGTTCATCAGCCATTAAATTTATCGAATCTTCATAGGCAGTGTGATTACTTTCAATTACTGTTATTGTGTATCTTTTTACTTTCTTATTATTTCCAAAATATGTTTCATATATTTCAGACATTAATTTTATATTTGTATAAAGTATAATTGTAGGCATTACACAATAATAAATTGGAATGGAGTCCTAGCAATATGACTGCTCACATGTTATTTCGTGTATTTGCTTTAGTTTGTTGCGTCTTTGGATATACTGTATGTAACTATCCAAGATTGTACTCTTGTTAAATTATCTTGTAAGAATTGGAAAGAAAAGTTACCATTAAAAATTAATTTTCTGACTTATTTCAGAATAAAACTCAAATATTTTATCGTATAAAGCTTTGCATTAATTGGCCACTCTGATAAATGATATTACATCATACGCTACTTGACGGCAATTATTATTGATCTTATTGTGCTTAAAGATCTATTTATGAAAATTGCAATAAAAAAGATAAATGTACGTTTTTACTGTAGGTACACAATATACTGGTTATTCTACTACCGGCTCGTTAGTTCTTCGTAAGAGCGTGCTAGTTTAAGGAAAACCAGCATATTTTGAAATTTGAAATAAAAAGGACAGAAAGACTAATTGGATCTTCAACTTTTTTTCTAAGCAATAGAAGGTCTATATGTACAGGATATCCCATAAGCACATGATTTTAGGAAGAAAATCTGGTCTAACATTATTAAGAAACATATCTGGCTCCTCTCCTACTGATGGTCAGAGTTCTTTAAAAAAATAATTAGGTTTGTTGTTCTCTCGTGAGAATGTTAACATGGACACGTTAGGCTCATATATTAATGTAGTTGCCGCCTTCATCCGCAGCAAGTTGATGAACACTTTTCCGATTCTAATAGAATATTTCGATCTTCCTCAGACGTTGCTATTTTAATGCCATTTAATTAATACTTTTACACACAAGTGGCTCGGAAAATGTTCCCGTCGAGGTGTTTCTGCGCCTCCATCTGAACGCTATTAGATTATTGTTTGTTTTTGAAGAGCCTTAAAGAATAAAGTTAATCCAACGCCTGTAGAGTCCCAAGAATAATAATTGCGTAGTATTTAAAACGACACGAATGATAAATCGGAATGAGCCATAAATATTGAGTTGCACTCAATTCAATTTCAATTGCAGAATTCGACGTTCGTATTCGTATACTTATCAAACATTTTTTAGAATTCGGATTTATAACAAATGATCGTGTATGTGACTATCACGTAGTTTCAATTGGAAATTATGTATTTCTGGAGTACGTGTTTACGTTAAAAAATTATTTAATAAAATTAGATGGTAATCTATCCGTCACATATTTTTATTCACACTTAAATTAAATGGATAACAATGCTGACGTGCAAAATTAGTAAATGACAAGAAAACATTTTTTAGGCTTTTATCTATAAAAACTACAAGATTTCATAAATAGCACGAAAATCTTAAAGAAGAATGAAGTTCATCCACTAAAAATAATTGGAAGTGATTCCACCTACCAAGTAAAAAGTTGTGTGGTCATTTTAGTACCAAGACAATCATGAATTTATCATTTTTCTAAAGTGTTATCAAAATATGAGTCGTGCGGAGAGGAAAATCCACAGATACTTTCATTAACATCAAAGGTAACATTCTCCCGATATTACAAACTACATATTTTATTTGAAGAATCAATAGTAGAGTAGCCAGAGACTTTCTTATCAAAAGTTAGGTCAGATTGTATTTTTTAGACCCGAATAATGTCGCAGTTTCATTTTGATCATGTGCCGTATTTATGAAACAAAATTGTCGAAACAGTAATTTGAAAACTGAATTTTGGCGCATCGTAGAGCAAATTGAAGAAAATATTTTATTTCGAAGAAAATATGAATATAGATCCATTGCCGTACCACTTTTTCCTGGGATATCTGTAGATATTTCGTTCGTCCTTTCGATTTCGATAAATCGTTCTTGAATATTTTCCATATTTGATTGATTATTGTGCTCTGTGTATTATTAAATTACTTCAACCAGAGAAAACAGCTACCGAGAGAAAATTTTTAAACAAATGAAATGTACAACAATTCAACAAAATATTTTAAACTACTAATAAGTATTGAATATTTACTTTTAAGAGCCCATATATCATCGCCTGTTGAATTAAATAAGTTCTTCAAAAACAGTGATATTTGTGCTACGCATTCCGCATTGCTAATACTGATCGTTTCATTTTCGTAGTTGGTGAGGACATTTTGCAGAACTTTGCTAATATTTTCCACATAACCACTTTCTTCACTTAAACAGTTTTGTGTCAAAATTGTTGCACAGAATACGATATAAAACCATATAGACATGTTTGACCGGTTAAATAGAGTTACCGACTTTGGTTCTATGAAAGACCAAGAACATATATAACATTATTTGATTAGATTATAATATTTATCTGTCCAATATAATCTTAGTAAGTTTCAACAAAGATCGGTCAGTAAAATTGAGTTTGCGCTGATAATTGATATGTATTCAAGGCATTATTTTATCTAAAAAATTGTCAATTGCTTTCTGGAATGTGATGTATCGGTAATGCTAAAGGATAAACTGCTTATACCAAGCGTTCCTCTCAAGGCTAATTGTTGGGAAGAAAATTTGAAATACAGACTCGTTTTTAACAAATTAAGCTTTCGTTCACAATTTTAAATTTCAATTGCTATTGTGTGGGATATCGGTGAAATGAGCTTTCAAATGGCTAAACAAAAGTTTAAAAAATACTTGTAGGAAAACGATGCTTTACTTATGGTTAAACGGCATTAGCGAAATTGAGTTGGTTTGAAACACTAAGAAAAATGTAGCAAATGTAAAATAATATAAACAGAGGGGCAGAAAGACCGATTGGGTCTATAGCCTTCTTCTGTAGGAAATAAATATTATTTTATAGTTTATATACATATATAAACAGAGTGCACAAAAGTGAGATGCGATGTACTGGGTGATTCAGTATGAAATGATGATTTACGTATACCGTGTATTAGCAAGTTTCAATGTTTGTAAACAGAGATAAATAAAGAAGTTGTTCAACTTGCAATTGGTTTAGAAAATTCAAGTTATGTTTGCGGTCATATCGAGTTCCGCTGTACAGGGTGTACGAAAATTAGAACCAACTTTCTATTTTAAATACAAACCTCTCAATTTCTTTAGCATGTTTGGGTTGGCCTAGTTTTGGAAAATTTTCTCTTGTAGCTTTTGATATATCATATGTTGAGTATTTTCATCTCAGCTGTCTCTTGGAGTCTTTTGGTTTTTGCTGTTTCTGGCCTGGTTTCTTCGATATATCACTGGCCTCACTACGGTTTTGTAGATCCTCGATTTAGCGTCCGTTCCCCTACTCTTATTGCACCATATGGCATTCAGATAGCCAGCTATTCTAATTGCTTTTGTTGTTTGATTTCTCACCTCAATATTCCCAAAGCCCGAAAGTTCCACGCCAAGGTAGTTAAATTTCATTTTCTGTTGGATTACTCTACCGTCAAGTTCCAGTTTGTATCTTAAAGGGGTTTTTGATGTTGTTAAGCCCTTTGTTTTGGTCGGTGATATTTCCATATTTAGACTTGGCTGTCAGGTTGAATAAGTGTCATAACTTTTGTACGTCATCTTCACTTTCTGCAATGAAAGCCGCATCGTCTGCATAACACATTATTTTGATTTCTGCATCCTCATTTTGTATCCCTTTATGAAAGTGCGAAAAACCGTTTTTTGCGCATAACTTTTGAACCGGTCATGCTATTAAAAAAGGTATAAAAAACTTTTTTACAAGTATTAAAAATACCTACCTTATAAGGAAAACTAAATTAAAATCCGTGCGTTTGTTTGCTCAAAAAACGAAAAAAACCGCCGATTTCAGTGTTTTTTTATGTTCTTTAATTAAATTAGTTTTGCTTCAAAAAATCGTACTACTCGTATAACTTTTTTGAAGGTCTTTGTACACTTTATAAGTGGTATACATTTTGGTATCAAATATTTATAACTTTTTGTTCTTTCCTATTTGTTATTAAAAAAAGGCACTTGCCTGATTTTTATTTTCTTTAGAAATCGAAGCGACTTCTCTGAGGGCTTATTTTACTCGTAAAGAGTTATATTTACTACAACTTACAATAAAGGAAAAATTGATTAATGAAGGGTAAATTGTTTAAACATATTGTTGAAAATGCGATGTTTTCATAAAGGGCATTGATAAACAATTCCAGCCGCCAAATTTTTGCGGCGGGACAGCTGCGAGCGGGGCTCACACAAATTCCTAATTTTCAACTTAATGTTTAAACAATTTACCATTCAGTGATGAAATTTTCCGTTATTGTAAGTTGTAGTATTTATACGAGTAAAATACAGCTTCAGAGAAGTCTCTCCGACGTCTCAAGACATAACTTATTTACAATCTGACAAGAGCCTTTTTACATAACAAATAGGAATGAACAAAAAGTTATGAACATTTTAAGCTAAAATTTATAACACTTATAAAGTATACTTTCAGAAAAAGTTATAGTAAAATTTTTTTGAAGCAAAATTTATTTAATTAAAATTAAAAAAAAAAACGCTAAAATAGGCGGTTTTCTGTTGTTTTTTGAGTAAACAAATGAATGGATTAATTTAGTTTATCTCGTATTGTAGGCACTTTCTTTAATTATTTAAAGCATGTCCCACAGCCGGAAATTGTGCTCAAACTATTTTCCCAATTTTCTGACATCCATCCAAACAACTTCCAATAATTTTTTACCTTCATCTACTTAGTGCCCGGAAAAAATATAATCCGTCGAAGCTTTGAATGTTGTTTCGGACGTTGTGCCAGATAAATCACTTGCGAACTAGGACTAGTACAGTGAAAGCAAGATAATAGATAGAAATAAGTAATTATTAATATATTTTAACGAATTAAGCAAGACATTAGCCCTCGTCCCTTTGGTAATATTACTCTATGTTAAAAACGGAAATTTCAATAAAGCGGAATGTTTAGAACCTCAACAAATTTGTTAATTCCTCCCTTGTTAATACCTTGGACTTCTTAGGTTTATACCGCTTCGATTTTCGTTTCAGGAATGATAGCAAATTTACATATTTTTTCAGCAGATCATCCCTTGAACTCATTTTAAAATGTGTAATTTTAAGACACAACTTAGCAGGGGCGGATCCAGCTTTCGAGGCAGGGGGGGTCAAGTAGTAGAAGTTCAGTCTTTTGTTGTCCATGAAATTAGAAAAAATTTCGTTAGTCGTTAAAAACCCAGCACAAGGGGGGGGGTCACCCGGACCCCCATGACCCTCTCCCTGGATCCGAACTTGTAACTTTGACAATGATTGGCAGAAGCAATTTAATACCAATCGTACCTGTCTATGTCTTTTGCTAAAGAAATACAAATTCTCTATACCTGTGTTCTGTATTCAATTTTCTAATAAACTATTTTTACTCAAATAATCATTAAAATGACAATCGGTATAGTTGTAGATAAAATATTGTACGTAACGCGTAGAATGTTATATTATTAACGCACTTATGTGATTACACATCTTGAAAATTATTACAAATCTTCACATGCGTGCTTTAATAATATTCATACTTTACTGGTTACGTAAATAACTATTATATTTGACCTTGAATATAATATATTTAGTTGGCATTTTTCAAGTTCACTATATCCGCCCTCGACTATATTTACAAATTGTTTCTACTCTTATCATGTTTTTTTTTATACAATTAATGGTGTGCAGACAATAATAATAGTGTTGCCACGCAAATTTTTATCCTACATTGAACTTTAAAAATAAACTGTTACAAACGAAATTAAGTTAAATTGCATTAGGAAAACATATTCAAAATAAACGAATTACTTATTGATAGTGCTTGTGTACTTGAATAATCTCGAAAAGCGAAAAATGAATTGAAATTCCATTGTATTAAAAAGTTGTTTAGTAGCCACAGACTTTCGTTGACACGTAATTTTAGCTGTTTTCAAGTGCACATTTATCAAGAACTACTTGGTGTATCCAAATGAAAAAATATCCAAGTATGAACTATATATTTAAAAAAAAGTGGGGGACTGACTTTCCAGAATGCTACTATTTCAAGCTCACATTTTCGCCACAGTCTTTTTTTTTGTATTAAACATTGTCATCCTGGATGAGCTAAGATTGCGCGCTTTCGCCGATGTTTAAAAATGATGATCGAGTGGGGTAATTTCACCTATTGAAATTTAACTAGTTACGGTTTTCAACTTTAAAATACAAGAAAAAGTTAAACGGGCACAACAAGGACATTGATGAGTCCGAAAAAACTATCCGTCTTAACTTCACAACCCGGTTCGAATAAAAGCCAGAATTGCTTCAGTATAGTGCTACATAAAAGGGTGTGACAACTATACAAAGAACCTGAACATTATACCACCCTGTGCGCATATGTACCTTACCCTTTTTACCACCAGTTTTCTCGGTCTACTGCCCCACTAACGGAACTTTTTTTACATACATACATACAGTATATACATATTTTACATTTTTTACAACATTTTGCCTCGACAGAGGTGCAGGGCTGATTCTTGACAAGGGTGAATCCTAAATAGCTCTAACAGACATTTTCATGAAAAAAGTCGGAGCTGCCTTCTATGCCAGAAGTTGCATTTTTTCGCCACTGTTTTATTTAACCGATGCCATTTAACCGATAATTAATCATATAGATCATTCACTTATCTCAGGATTTCGTAATTGTGTAAAAATAATTTGTGTGCACTTCTGAACTGTATCAGATACTTATAATTGTTATGAATGCGTTTAATATAGGTACTGACTTATACATCATAAAGCCTTGAAAAAATCGAACAATTCGTATTGGGTTTGCGACTTACAATTGTCTGGAAGATAACAAACTACGTCAGTTGTACTGAATATATGACGTTTGTTATGCATTAAATTAGAATCTGATTGTATTTGTTTACATTAGAAGCATGTTTTTATGGATAGCGCAGTTAAGCTTTCAAGCTAAATTGAACTTGTGATATTTTCCATACTTTTCTAAAATGTTTTCATATGAAATACTTAATATTAAAGTTCTCCCGATTATGTCAATAGATTTGCAAGCTTTTTTAAAGAGTTCTTTTAAAACTAAATTTTTCTGAAAAAGTTTCAGATATCGAAGACTGGTTCAAATGCGTTTTTAGATTTTCTGGCCATTTTTGCATTTCAGACATTTCAATCTTCACTAAGCAAAGTTTTAAAACTGTTCCTTCTCAACAGATGCAGTTGCTGACTGTAATCAGTTTTTGTGTGCTTAATGAAGTTGTAAAATATCAGAAGCATGAGATGTTAATTTGGACTCTATATCGAAGGTAAGAACAGCTGGAAATCTGGAGATAAAGCCCAGGTTTGCAACGCGTGAAAACGTAAAACGTTACACATTGCTTTTGAGATAAAAGGCAAAAATATGTGGAATTTTAGAATTTCATCAAGTCTACGATAGGGCTATAAATTAAACACATTCTAAGTGCAGATGCATTGTTGGATTTTTGATTAAATATTCAAAGCTCTGCGTTTAGCTTTTGCGTTTTGTTCAAGAGGGTGTTACAGATTTTTTGTGTTTTGTGTTCAGATTTTTTGTGTGATTTGTGTTTTGAATTGAACTTAAAATGCCTGTTGTTGAAATACAACCTTATCACTATTTGCTTTTGCGGTTAATTGTATTGTTAATCTAAGCWTAGAGRAATTATAGAAAWATCTAATTACCTTTGATCGTTTTCCTTGAGGAACACAATAACTAGTAKTGTGTTTGACACTCTGCTCGGCTAATTCGATTTCATTCTGGTGCTTTCTTTTCATTACAAAGGTATGTTTTCTTAGTAAATACTCTGCCAGTGTCAAGCTTGTATCCCGTTTTCATATGAAATTAACTAAAGAAGGAATAGAATCTATTGAAACTATATATTTAGTTTTAAATTTGACCTTACTCTACCCACAGAAAGGAAATATTTATTTACCAAATCAAAAACCCATCATTTTATAAACACAAATATATATATATATCGATATGTCTAGTATTCGCATCGAATAACTATATAACTAACGACACTGCACCACGTACCCTGCACGACAAAACGACAACAAAAGCTGTTCTTAAACTTCAAACATTAACAGCAGAAACAAAG